CCAATCCTCTTTTGAATTGGCGCCGCTCCCAGCAAGATCAACGTTCCTGCTCGAGATTTCCTTTTTTTTCCTCAGGACGGTGCTGTTCCTCGCCGCCGACAGCCCCCGTCCCGACAAAACCACGGCTCCCGCTCGAGACTTCCCCCCTTCTTACTCAAGGCGGTGCTCTTCCTCGCCGCCGACAGCCGCCGCCCCAACAATACCAGCGTTCCCGCTCGAGACTTGCTCCCGTTTTACGCTGGACTAGCGCGGTACTTTGTTCAGCATTGGCGCCACCCCCAGCAACAACAGCGGCCGTACTCGAGACTGCCCCCCTTTCTATTCAGGGCCAGGTCCTTGCCTCGCCGCCGACAGCCCCCATCCCCACCAAGGCAATCCTGTCGCTCGATACTTCCTTGTGCTTTACCCTTCGCTGGGGTTCCACTGGCGGTCTCGCATCGGCGCAGAAAAGGCGCGAGCATGTGTTTCGAGGCGGGATATGTTGAAATTCCTCGGAGGAGGTGTTTGCAAGACCTCATTGGGCGGGAGATCTGGGAATGGGAACAACGGACCCAGCTATAGAACAAGAGTCCCCCATGATGTGGATGGTTATCATGATGGTCGCATGCTTCGTGTGGAAACATCGCGCATGTGGGTAAACTGATTGTTGTTGTCGTTGTTAAGTTCTAAACGATTGTTATTGTTGGACCCCCCAGGCGCCTTGGCGCTCTCGCCTCGGCGCCGGCTACATTTTCATGGAACATGAGGCTCACGCTCGAGCGGCTTGGGGGGGCGCCAATACCGGCCTCCCGACAACAACAACGCTCCCGCTCGAGTTTTTCCCTCTTTTACTCAGGGCCGGTGCTCTTGCTCGCTGCCGGAAGCCGCCGTCTTAACAAAACCAGCACTCCCGCTCGAGACTTGCTCCCGTTTTACGCTGGACTGACGCGCTTCGTTTTCTCTCATCGGCGCCGCTCCCAGCAACAACAATGCTTCCGCTCGAGATTTCCTCTCTGTTTTATTCAAGGCGGTGCCCCTCCTCGCCGCCAAAAGCCGCAGTCCCGACAAAACCAGCGCTTCCGCCCGAGACCTTCTCCCGTTTTACGCTGGACTGGCGCCCTGCTCTCTTTTGAGTTGGCGCCGCTCCCAGCCAGATCAACGCTCCTGCTCGAGGTTTCCTTTTTTTTTCCCTCAGGACGGTGCTGTTCCTCGCCGCCGACAGCCCCCGTCCCGACAAAACCACGGCTCCCGCTCGAGACTTCCCCCCTTCTTACTCAAGGCGATGCTCCTCCTCGCCGCCGACAGCCGCCGCCCCAACAATACCAGCGTTCCCGCTCGAGACTTGCTCCCGTTTTACGCTGGACTAGCGCGGTACTCGGTACTCTGTTCAGCATTGGCGCCACCCCCAGCAACAACAGCGGCCGTACTCGAGACTGCTCCCCTTTCTATTCAGGGCCAGGTCCTTGCATCGCCGCCGACAGCCCCCATCCCCACCAAGGCAATCCTGTCGCTCGATACTTCCTTGTGCTTTACCCTTCGCTGGGGTTCCACTGGCGGTCTCGCATCGGCGCAGAAAAAGCGCGGGCATGCGATTCCGAGGCGGGATATGTTGAAATTCCTCGGAGGAGGTGTTTGCAAGACCTCATTGAGCTTGAGATCTGGGAATGGGAATAACGGACCCCGCTATAGAACACTAGTCCCCCATGATGTGGATGGTTATCATGATGGTCGCCTGCTTCGTGTGGAGGCATCGCGCATGAGGATACAATGACTGAACTCTCACAGCTGAGGAATAATTATGGTTGATCCCCCCTCACCGGTGCATGCTGCTTTTTCTCAATCAAAGTGTGCCCCTCGAGGCTCGCACCATGTTTATTGACAGGGGAAGCCTTGATGCTCAAATTGCGCCCTTGGCCCACGGGTTACAACAACAACGGCTCCCGCTTTAGACTTCCTCACAATTTAGCCAGGACCCCCGCTCCCACCCGAGACTTCCTCGCATTTTAGTCAGGAATCGCGCACTCGCTTGGGACTTCCTTACAATTTACTCAGGGATCGCTCTCCCGGCGCTCTGGAGTCGCGCTCTCGCTGGAGACTTAAGCTTACAATTGACTGACGAATAGCGCCCTTGCGTTGGGATTTCCAGTATTTACTCAAGCGCCGCGCTTCCGACACCCAGGCATCCAGGAGTCGCGCTCACGCTTAGGACTCCCCAACAGATTACCCAGGGATCGGGATCTCGCTGCCCTTCGTGACCCCGTTGCAGCCCTTCGTGGCCCCCTCGCTTTGTTTCGTGGCCCCGTTGCAGCCCTTCGTGGCCCCCTAGCTTTGTTTCGTGGCCCCGTTGCAGCCCTTCGTGGCCTCCTCGCTGCCCCTCGTGGCCCCGTTGCAGCCCTTCGTGGCCCCCTCGCTTTGTTTCGTGGTCCCGTTGCTGCCCTTCGTGGCCCCCTCGCTTTGTTTCGTGGCCCCGTTGCAGCCCTTCGTGGCCCCCTCGCTGCCCTTCGTGGCCCCATATATGTATGCCCTTCGTGGCCCCCGCTCGTTCGCGCCCGTGGTGGCCCCATATGCATGCCCTTCGTGGCCCCGCTGTCGCCCTTCGTGGCCCCCTCGCTGCCCTTCGTGGCCCCTTGCTGCCCTCATTGGCCCCGTCCTTGCCCTCCGCGGCCCAACATACGTATGCCCTTCTAGGCCCCCGCTCGTTCGCGCCCGTTGTGGCCCCATGTGCATGCCCTTCGTGGCTCCGCTGTCGCCGTTTGTGGCTCCCTCACTCTCCTACGTGGCCCAGTTGCTACCCTCAGTGGCCCCATCGTTGCCTTCTGTGGCCCCGCATTATCTGCCCTTCGTGGCCCCCGCTCGTTCGCGCTCTTCGTGGTCCCGTTGCTGCCCTTCGTGGCCCCCTCGCTTTCTTTCGTGGCCCCGTTGCAGCCCTTCGTGGCCCCCTCGCTGCCCTTCGTGGCCCCATATATGTATGCCCCTCGTGGCCCCCGCTCGTTCGCGCCCGTGGTGGCCCCATGTGCATGCCCTTCGTGGTCCGCTGTCGCCGTTTGTGGCTCCCTCACTGTCCTACGTGGCCCAGTTGCTACCCTCAGTGGCCCCATCGTTGCCTTCTGTGGCCCCCCAATATCTGCCCTTCGTGGCCCCCGCTCGTTCGCGCTCTTCGTGGCCCCATGTGCATTCCCTTCGTGTCCCCGCTGTCGCCCTTCGTGGCCTACTTCGTGTCCTTCGTGGCCCTGCTGTCGTTTTCTCTCGCTCTCGCTTTCGCTCGTCGTCGTCGTCGTCGCCGTCGTCGTCGTTGTCGTCGTCGCCGTCGTCGTCGACGTCGTCGTCGTCGTCGTCGTGGTCGGTCCCCTGTCCGTCCTTTTTGGGGTCGGGTCGACGGTCCGCGGCCGCCCTGCCGATCAGCGCTGCCGCTGGCCAGGCCGACGGTCCGCGGCCGCCCCGCCGCTTGCCAGGGCCCGGCCTGGAGGGAAGAAAGGTATACCCCTCAAAAGGGGTCTCGATCGAAGACGAAGAGGGCGGGTATCGATGGTTTGGGAAATACGCGTTCTTGGACACTCGAGCAGATAAGGGCGAACAGTCTTAAACTGATTGTTGTTGTTTTCTCAGTCCGAAACAAGAATTACTGTTGATCCCCCCTCTGAGCACATGGTGTTTTTGTCAATTGAAGTGTTCCAACGGGGCCTCGCGCCCAGTTTTTTACAAGGGAGAATTGGGGGGTACCAAACTGGGCCCCTGGCCCCATTGTTACAACAACAACAACAACAACGGCTCCCGCCCGATATTTCCTCAGCATTTAATGAACAATCGCGCTCTCGCGTGGGACGTCCTCACAAATTATGCAGGAATCGCGCCCCCGCGTTGGACAATCTCGCACTTTCTTCAGACGCCGCGCCCTCGACACTCAGGAATCACGCTCTCGCTTTGGCCTTGTTCATGTTTACTTGGGGATTGCGTTCTCTCTTGAGCTCTCCTCGCGATTCATGCAGTATTCACGCTTCAGCATCACGCCTTTTCGACTTGGCCGCTTTGGCTCAGCTTCCCGACCCGCCCGTTAGGGTCTACCCGCCCGATGGGCCCGTCTGGTTCTGCCACGTGTGTTCTGCTCCTAGCCCCCTCCATCTTTTTCCCTCCCCTCCCATCCGTCTTCTCTTCCTTCGTTTCATGGCTGCAACAAGTACACGCGGCAGTTAAGGACAATATGCCCCCAGGAGGTACGATCGAAGACGAAGAGGGCGGGTTCCGAGGGTTTGGGATATACGCGCTGAGCAGGTAAGAGCGAAGAGTCTTCAAATGATTGCTGTTGTTGTTGCTGTTGTCGTCTTCCTCGCCGGCGACCCGCCCACGACCCACCCGCGAGTCACCCTCGACCCACCGCGTGACCCACGTCCACTCCGCGACCCATCCACACCCTCCCTTCGACCCAGTCCGCGACCCACCCACATTGCGTTGAGTAAAGATCGTCGCCTGCGGCGGGCTCGTTGTGTCGTGTATACAATCGGCGCCTTCGGCGGGCATCAGCAGATTTGCTTCCTGAGCCCCGCAGACTGCCCACAATCCCCCCCCACCCCGCTCTCAGTGTTCTCCGCAATTGCGGGGGGCTGCGTAATTTTTGGGGGCTCCGAATATTGGTTTTCTGACAGGACGAGCGGGCAAACGAGTTCACAGTTGGCACTCCGTCGGGCAGTCGGGCAAAGTAGCATTAACAAAAAACAGGCCGCCCGGCAGTGAAGCAGAGAAGCAAGTCGCAGCACGACCGCGAACATTTGCCGACCCGATTCTGCAAGGGAGCTCTGCCGACAGTTCATGGTTATGCAGTTGTTTGCTTCGGGTGGTGGTTGTTCCACCATGCGCGATTTGCCGCTGACCGCAGAGTGGCCGCTTTTACGGCGAGGCCCTGGCACTTCAACGCGAGGAGCCAAGCGGACGACGATCATCGGCTGTCCGCGTCCCTCTTCCTTCCTCCCCTTCCCCTCTCTCGAAACGATTCGTTGCATATGCGATAAAAAATGTTATTTCTTCAGGTGAACGCTCCAGCTGCGCCCGCCGAGCCGCTGAGCGCCGCGGCGCTCGAGCTGCTGCGCGCGCGCTGGGAGGAGCGCGTCGCCCGGGAGACCGGCCTGGCCGACTACGCCGCCCTGCGGCGGGCCCTGCGGGACGAGGTGGCGGCCCGTGCGCGGGCCAGCGCCTGACGCGCGGTCTCTCCCTCCTCCTCCCTATCCTCCTTGTGCTCTTACTCCTCCTCCTCCTCGTCCTCGTCCTCCTCCTCCTCCTCCTCCTCCTCCTCCTCCTCCTCTTCTTTCTCCTCCTCGTCCTCCTCCTCCTCCTCCTCCTCTTCCTCCTCCTCCTCCTCTTCCTCCTCCTCCTCCTCCCCTTCCCCTCCTCTTTTCTTCTTCTTCTTCTTCTTCTTCTTCTTTTTCCTCCTCGTCGTCGTCCTCCTCCACCTCCTCCTGCTCCTCCTCCCCCTCCTTCTCCTCCCCTCCTCCTCCTCCCCTCCTCCTCCCTCCCCCTCCTTCTCCTCCTCCTCCTCCTCCTCCTCCTTCTCCTCCTCCTCCTCCTCCGCCTCCTCCTCCTTCATATTCCTCTATCCTACGTCTCGATCCGCCTCTGATCTCCTCCCCCCCGCGGCAGGCGAAGGGGCTCGCCGGCGGCCGGCTCGAAACTCGTGCGCGCTGGGCGCCTGGCGCCTGGCGTTTGAATTCGCTCAAGCTGAGCGTCCTCACTCCGTTCCGGGCTTCGGGGCCCTCACTGGTCGATCCGCCTCGGACAAAGTTCCCCCCCCAGAGATCCTGGCCTCTGAGTTTGCTCAAGCTGGGCGTTCTCACCCCTCTTCGAAATTCGGGACCCTTACGGGCCGATCCGCCTCGAACGTTAACCCAGAGCAATGAGGTCCAGCGCTCCGGCCTTGATCTTTCACGATGTCTCTCTTTTTGTTCTCGCGCCGTTGGCTCTCCTGGCCCCCCTGCCTTGCAGAGGAGGATAAGGCACCAATGCCGCTGCTCGTGCTGGAGAGCCCGCGCCGCCACGGCCGGTGTCGCTTTGAGATGCTGGGCAGAACGCGCCCCGGGGCAGAGGTCCGGGGAGCAGCGGTACTGGCCTCCCTCCGCGTGCCGCCAAAGCGTGCAGGGTCCCACGCTCCCCCCCCCCTTCCCCCGCCTCCCCTCCTGCTCAGCCCCCATCGCCCCTCCGCTGCCCCCTCCGCGCTCCCTCCCTCCCACCACCTCCCCGCGCGTTCGCCCTCTTGCGCTCCCTCCTGCCTCCCGCCCCCCCTGTGCGTTGTCCTCGCTCCCTCGCTCCTCGCGTGCCCCTGTTCCGCTCCTCCCCGCGTTCCTCGCTCCTCCCTCCCCGCTGCTCGGCGCCCCTGGCGCACGTCGGCCTGGCACCGCCCTGCACCGCCGTGGCCCCTCGCTTCTCCCTCCTCCTCCTCCTCCTCTTTCTCCTCCTCCTCCTCCTCCTTCTCATCCTTCTCCTTCCGATTCCTCAATCCTGATGGCGTGAGGAATCCTCGCATTCCGCCCTCCTCGGCCCTGGAGGGGCTGATCAAACCAAAGCCAGGCGGCCCTTCGAGCACCGCTTCAGGGTTTGCCGGCTGGTGGGGGATACATTATTGTATATGTATATGGTTTGAGATGTGTATATTTACGTATGCATGTATATATGTATATATGCATGCATGCATGTATGTATACATGCATGCATGCATGCATGCATGCCTGGATGGAATGTAATGCAGTGGAATGTAGTGTAATGTAGTGTAATGTACGATGCTGTATGGTAATGCGATGCAATGTAGTGCATTGTAATGTATGTATGTCGGTAGGTAGGTATGTATGTATGCATGTTGATATGTCGAATAGGTATGTCGGTATGTTTGTATGTGAGTGTATGTAGGTAGGTAGGTCGGTAGGTAGGTAGGTAGGTAGGTAGGTAGGTAGGTAGGTGGTATGTCTGTATGTATGTATGTCTGCATTTATGGACGGATGCATGCATGCATGTATGCATGCATGCATGTATGTATGCGTGTATGTATGAATGTGTGCATGGATGCATGTATGTGAGTATTGTAACGTATGTATGCCGGTATGTATGCATGTATGTATGTCGAGATGTCGGTGTGGATAAATGTGTGCATGTGTGTATGCCCGTATGTATGGATGTATGTATATATGTATGCATGTATGTATGTATGCATGCATGTATGTATGTATATGTGTAGGTGTGTATGCATGTATATATGTATGTGTGTATGCATGCATGCATGCATGTATGTATGTATGTATGCATGCATGGATGCATGTATGTATGTATGCATGTATGTATGTATGTATGTGTGTATGTATGTATGCATCTGTGTATGTATGTATGTACGTATGTGTGTATGTATGTAGTCATGCATGTATGTATGTATGCATACATGCATTCATGTATGTCTGTATGCATGCATGCATGCATGTATGTATGTATGTATGTGTGTATGTATGTCTGTCTGTCTGTCTGTCTGTCTGTCTGTCTGTCTGTCTGTCTGTCTGTCTGTCTGTCTGTATGTATGTATGTATGTATGTATGTATGTATGTATGTATGTATGTATGCGTGTGTATGTATGGCTTTGTTTATGTGTGTGGATGTATATTGTTGTGTGTGTATTCCTCTTCGAATATTCTTATAGCGGAAGCCCCTCCCTGACCCCCCCGTACATAAATTCGGCCCTGGGCGCTCCCACCGCCGTCAAGTTCGAATGCCGTTTTCGGGAGCCTCTCCCGGCCATCCCTGGACGATCCCGCAAAGCCCCAAGGCGGCCCAAGACCGTTCCAGAACGGCTCGTGAGCGCTCAAAGAGGCCTCAAGGTGGTTTCAAGACGGCCCAAGATGGTCTCAAGACGCCCAAAGAGGCCCCCAAGAGGACTCCCAAGAGGTAAACATCGTCCATTCCCTTCGGGAAACGTACGTTGTTAGCATATCCGCTTCTTTGGCCTTCACCGCGTCCAAGACAGCCCAAGAGGCCCCCAAGATCGCCCCAGGACGGCCCAAGAGGCCCCCAAGGGAGCCCAAGACAGCCCCAAAGGGCTCCAAAACGACCCAAGAGAGCCCCAAGACGGCCCCAAAGAGCACCAAAGGGCTTCCCAGAGAGCCCCAAGAAGGCCGCAGGAGGCCCCCAAGAAGAACCAAGAGGGCCCCAAGACGGCCTAAGCCCCCCAGGACGGCCCAAGAGGGTCCCGGGACGGCCCACGAGGGCCGCCAGACAGCCCAAAAGAGCTTCAAAAGGAGCTCCACGAGAGCCCCGAGAGGCCATACCCCTATCAGGCATATGAGGCCTGTCGGCCCCACAAGCCCGACGACCACTATGGTGCCTCACGGTGCCCCATGAGCCCCATGAGGCCTGGGAACCCTAACACCTCCAGAGCTCTCACCCCCACACGCCGCCGCATCCGACTGCTCCACCGCTGCATGCAGCACACGGGTGCCCCAAAAAACATCCATCGCGCCTTTTTGATCGCGCTGGCGACTTCGTCCAATCAGTCGCGCGAGCCGAGGAGGCCGAAGCCGTATCAGCTCTATGAGCCCTTTGAGCCCTAGGAGCCTTATGAGCCCTATGAGCCCTATGAGCTGTATGAGCCCTATGAGCCTTATAACCTCTATGACCCCCCCTATGAGCCCATGAGCCCTATGAGCCTTATGAGCCCTATGAGCCCTATGAGCCCTATGAGCCCTTTTGAGCTTTATGAGCCCTATGAGCCCTATGAGTCCGATGATCCCTACGAGCCCATGAGCCCTATGAGCCCTATGAGCCCTATAAGCCCTATGAACCCTATGAACCCCATGAGCCCCATGAGCCCGATGAGCCCTACGAGCCCTTTGAGCCCAGTGAGCCCCATGAGCCCTATGAGCCTCTAAGCCCAATACGCCCTATGAGCCCTATGAGCCCTATGGGCCCCATGGGCCCCATGAGCCCTACGAGCCCCATGAGCTCTATGAGCCCGATGAGCTTTACGAGCCCTATGGGCTCTATGAGGCCTATGAACCTTATGAGCCTAATGAGCCATTTGAGCCCTACGAGTCCATGAGGCGATGACCCCTATGAGGCCTATGCGACCTATGAGCCCTAGAACTCCCTCAGCACTAGGAGCCGTGAAGCTTTGCGAGACCCATGAGACCCCCCTCTGAGCCCTACGAGCCCAGTGACCCGTATACGGCCTATGGGCTCTATGCGCCCTGTGGCCCCGACTTGCCCCTTCACCCCAATCGGCCCCATGAGCCCTACGATGTTTACGCGCTCTGTTAGCGCCATGGGCCCCATGGCCCCCAGGAGCATTGCGAGCTCTATGAGCCCAATGACCCCCAAGAGCTGATGACTCCAAGGAGCCCCAGGATCCTTATAAGCGCCATGAGCTTCCTATGACCCCCACGACCTCTGTAAAAGCCACTCAGCATTATGAGCCCCGTGCCCGATGTGCACAAACAGTCCCATGACCCCAACGAACCCCATGAGCCCTGTGAGTCTTATGACCCCCTGGAGCCGCATCGGCAGCATTACCCCTTGCCTAAAATGGGGGCTCCGAGCCCCTGGGCCCCATGACGGCAGAGACTCCTGAGCTCTTTGAGCCGCAATATTCCTTGGGTCCTATTCGCCCTGTTTGCTCCATGGTCTCCATGGCCAGAACACACCGCGGCTGTGACGACAACCGATCTCATCGCGCCTCCCTGGCGCCATGCGACCAATATTTAAGAGGCGAAGCGCAGCGAGCCGGTAACATCTGGTGTGTAACTGTATATGTTGTTGCGTACTATGTGTATATATATATACATATATAGTTGTGCGTGCATGTATACATCCGTATAGGTAAAAACGGCAGAAGTGACAGGCTGACAATACGAGGGGGAGGAGGAGCAGGAGGGAGCCATCTTAAAACCAGGGAAGTGAGGAGGGGGCAGAGCTGGCGTGAGGCAGGCTGTGAGCGGGGTGCTCTGGCCTCGGCCCTGCTGCTCATGTGCGGTCGCAGCCGGGCGTGGTGGCGGGGGGTGAAAGTCGGGAGCGCGCGGCAGCTGGCCAGGGCGTGCTGAGCGTACCACGCCACCCTGGCGGTCCAGGGCGGGGGCCTGCGGTGGCTGTGCTGTGGGCTGTGCTGCTGGCTTCGGCCGTGCCGTGGGCGCGTCTGAGGAGTGGCGAAGCATGAGCGGGCGCGCTTGGGCCGCGCTCGCCCAGGTGGCTGCGGCCCCGGGGTAGCGGCGTTGCGTC